TCTTGAACCGTTGAGCAAGCAAGATACAAAAGAGTCAAACACAACAACCGTTATAATTCATCTGATTTTTATAAAAAACACAATAACGGTGCAAAATATATCTCCATTTTTTTCCCACTCAAAAATATCATCCTCTCTATACGGCTCATAACGTTAGACAACTTAACCAACATACTTTCCAATACCAGATATACTCACTAATTTACATCTATCTCTCTCATCTCCCTCCCTTATTTTCTCTATATTCACTTTAATTTTAAATGACATAACTAAAGAAAAGAAAGAATAAAAATATATTACTATCAATACTTAATTTTTTATCTTGCAGAGTATCTTCAAGACAGAGTTATTATTAATACTTATATATTACATTCCTCAATGAGGAAGTTATTAGGTTATCTATCTCGTGAGAATGGCAACCCCGTTGATGATTACTGAAGGGGCGACTCTAATTGGGCAATTGAGTTTTGGACAAATCCTATTGTTGGAAGAGATATAAAGACACAATTAAAAGGAATCTAGCTCAAACACCCTTGAAAATTGAACCACAAATAAAAAAGGGGGAGGAGCTTATTATGAACTCATTGATGACCATTGATTCACTTGCTGACCTGACCAAGTCTCGTAGATGAAGAGTTATTGTGACATTGCTTTAGCTTCTTTCTTGTTTGCCCTACCATACATTATCAAATTATCTGCCAACATCAAGTAATTAGATAACCATTCCTTACTATTTTCATTTTGTTATAGTATCTAAGTTGTTGCGAGAAATCAAGGAACATTTAGTGATGTTCTTGAAAAGGATCTCCGACATGTTCGCATGGAGACAGGAAGACATGAAAGGTATAGACCCAAATATTATAGTCCACAAACTCAGTGTGGATCCTAGTTTCAAACCTATAAAGTAGAAGAGAATGAGCTTTGCTACGAAAAGGCAGAAGGTCAATAATGAAGAAGTGGCTAAGTTGTTACATGCTAAAGCTATCAAAGAAGTTGACTACCCAGTCTGACTAGCCAATGTGGTTCTCGTCAAAAAGACCAACAGGAAATGGTGATATGTATCAATTTTACTGACCTCAACAGGGCGTGTCCCAAAGACAGTTTCCCACCGCCCTGCATTGAACTGATTGTAGATTCCATGGTGAGGAACGAGTTGTTAAGCTTCATGAATTTCTTCTCAAGCTACAAACAAATCAAGATGAGCCTTGAGGATCAACAGAAGATTGCATTCGTGACAGGGCAGGTGACCTACTGTTATCAGGTCATGTCTTTTGGCCTCAAGAATGTCGGAGCCACTTATCAGTGGCTCATAAATAGGATGTCCAAAAAAAAACTTGGAAGTACTATGGAGGTATACATCTAGGATATTCTAGTGAAGTCTTTAAGAGCCAAACTTCATGTTCAACGCTTCGATGAATCAGGAGTATGGGATGAAACTAAACCTAGCAAAGTGTGCCTTTGGAGTCCTAGTTGGAAAATTCTTGGACTTCATAGTAGACAGGAAGGGGATTGAAGCGAATCCGAAGAAATTAAAATTCGTGCTCGATATGAAGTACCCAACAAATATCAAGGAGGTATAGCGCTTGACCGGCTGAATACCGGCTCTCAACTGTTTTGTCTCGAAAAAGTTGTACTCTAGTGGAACAATGAATGTGAAAAGGCCTTTAACAGCCTGAAAAATTACCTGAGCTCCCCTTCAATCTTGGTCATCCTAGAGGAATGGGAAGTCTTGATGCTATATTTAGTCTTGTCTTATTTCTCGGTAAGCACAACTCTAGTAAAAAAAGAAGAAAAAAGACAATAGCCTATGTATTTTTGTAGCAAAACTCTAAGAGGAGTCAAGGAAAGGCACCCAAAATGGAGAAGTTGGTGCTGGCCCTCATTGTGTCAGTAAGAAGGTTGAGACCTTATTTTCAAGCTCATACGATAGAAATACCCACATATCAACTGATGAAACAGGTGCTCAGCAAGCTTGAATCCTTTAGTTGGTTAGTCAAATGAGCGGTTGAGCTAGGGGAGTTCGACATCCGTTTTAAATCTAGAAATGCTATTAAAGGACAAGCCCTAGTTGATTTCACTGCCAAATTCACCCAGTCTTCTTTGAGGAGTACCCCAAAAGAACGGGAGGTCGCCCCTGCCTTTCCACTATGGAAACTTTACAAGATGGGGCCTCTAATGTGCGGGAAAGTGGGGCTAGCCTGATTCTAACATCTCCAAAAGGCATTGACCTCAAGAATGCCCTCAAGTTGACTTTCGGGACTCCAACAATGAAGCCAAATATAAGGCACTCATAGTAGGGCTTAGGCTGGCACACTCTATGGAGGTTCATCATCTGGAAAGCTTTAGCGACTCTTAACTAGTAGTAAGTCAGATTGAGTGAGAGTATGAAGTACGCCAGGACTGAATGGCCCTATACATACCAGTTGTCCAAAACCTTTTGAGGAAGTTCGTCCATAAAAATGTGGAGTAGATATGACGGGCAGAGAATGCTAGGGTAGATGCTTTAGCTAAGTTAACCTCAGCAGATCAATGAGACCATAGTAGGTTTATACCTGTAGAACACCTCAGCATTCCAAGTATTCGCCCAGATCCGTTGTAGGCAGAGATCTTACCCATCAAATCCAGATAAAGCTAGATGGATGAGTTCATTCGGTATCTTAAAGAAGGAACTCTCCCAAAAGACCCCAAAAAAGCATCTAAGCTAAGAAGCTGAGCTTCTAGGTTTACCTTGATTCAGGATAAGCTTTACAATTGGGGATTCTCAACCCCCCTAATGATATGTGTAATAGCAAAAAAGGCTAATTAGATTATGAGAGAGGTTCACAAGGGCATTTGTGGAAACCATATAGGGGCTCGCATCCTAGCCTACAAGGTGCTAAGACAGGGCTACTTTTGGCCCACCATAGTGAAGGATGCGAAAGACTTGGTGAGGAAGTGCACAACCTACCAATACTTTGCAAACATTCCCCACAACCCTCCTGAGTAGCTTACACCTACTGTGAGCCCATGGGCATTTCAGCAATGAGGGTTAGACATCGTAGGACCTCTGCCGATAGGAGAAGGACAGTGCAAGTTTACGGTTGTGGGAGTAGACTACTTTAACAAATGGGTTGTGGTAAAGCCATTGACGACCATCATAGATCAAAAAATAAAAAATTTCATGTGGAAATCCACATGATGCAAATTTGAGATTCCTAGAGCTATCGTGGCAGACAATGGGAAGCAGTTCGACAATTCTACCTTCACAGGTTTTTGCTCAGAGCTAGGGATAAAGAATTAGTTCTCATCTCCGCTCATCCCAAATCAAATGGCCAAGCAGAGGTTACTATTCAAACGGTCATCAAGGCTCTAAAGACCAAGTTGGAAGCCTACAAAGGCTTATGGGTAGATCACCATCCAAGCGTCTTAAAGGCATATAGAACAATGACATGAATTGCTACGTAAAAGACCCTCTTCAGCCTAGCCTTCAAAATAAAGGCAGTGACATCTGTAGAGATCAGTTCTCCCTCTCCCAGGATCGAGTTCTTTGACCTAGAAGAAAATTACCAAGCCCTCTTAGCAAACCTTGATTTTTTGGACGAAAAGAGAGATGAAGCCTTACAGAGGATTACCTCCTATCAAGAAAAGACAACTCAGTACTATAAGCAGAGAGTCCGAGGGCGAAGCTTCATGATGGGAGACCTTGTTGTGTTAAAAAAGCTCTTACCAGCAAGGACAAATCCCAAACATGGGAAACTAGGGCCAGTTGGAAGGGGCCCTAATAAATAGTCTGACTAGGGAATTACGAGCTCCAAGATGAAGAATGAAGAGCTCTGCCATATTTGTGGAATGCTGATCATTTGAAGAAGTTATATCAGTAATCACTTCTATTCAAAAAGTTAGTTGGGTTCTATTAATGAAAGTCCAATAGTTATTACAAGATCTTGAGAATAGATGAATCTTCTAGCATGGCCAATCTCAAAGATGAGCTCGTCAGCTCATTATTCCGATAAGCTCAACAGCTTATAGAGCATTTCATCTCGCGAAGAGTTTTAAACTCTTAACTTTAGAGCGTTATAGCTCAAACAAAGATGAGCTTGTCAACTCATTCTTGCAATAAGGTCAATCTATAATATAAAATATGATAGACTGCAATAAGCCCATCCGATGGTTTCCAATAAACTCATCCTATAACCAGTAACGTCCCTCTTAAATTTTCATTTTGCCTTTAGGCATGGTTAGCCCTAGTAGCTTATAGAGCATTTCAGCTCATGAAGAGTTTTAAACTCTTAACTTTAGAGCTTTCTAGCTCAAACAAAGATGAGCTCATCAGCTCATTTTTACGATAAGCCCAATAACTTATATTGCATTTCAGCTCACGAAGAGTTTTAAACTCTTGAGTTTAGATAAGCTCAATAGCTTATAAAGCACTTCAGCTTATGAAGAGTTTTGAACTCTTAACTTTACAGCATTCTAGCTCAAACGGAGATAAACTCGTTAGCTTATTCTTGTGATAAGCTCAAGAGCTTATAGAGCATTTCAGCTCACGAAGAGTTTTAAACTTTCAATTTTAGAGCATTCTACTCAAACAAATATGAGCTCGTCAACTCATTCTTGCGATAAGCTTAACAACTTATAGAATATTATAGTTCATGATGAGTTTTAACCTCTTAACTTTGGAATGTTCAAGCTCAACCGAAGATGAGCTCATCTGCTCATTCTTGCAATTAGCTCAATAGCTTATGAAGCATCATAGCTCTCGAAGATTTTTTGAACTCTTGAACATCAATAAGATTATCAGCTCATTCTTGAGCAATCCGGCTCATGAAGAGTTCTAAACTATTAATCATAAAGCATTAAGAGTTAAGAGAAACTAAAGATCACAACAGACTTATATGTAAGAAAGGGGTCATATGCTTTTCATTTCAAAATCCAAAGAAGGTTACAAAAAAAATGGTGAAATGAAAGCGGGGTTAAGATCCAAAGCCCCTCCTCTTCAACTCCTTGATCTCCTCCTTCAATCAGGCATTCTCCCTGGTCAACCTGTCTTTCTCTGCCTCAACTTCAAAGAGCCGAATCCTTAGCATGATCTGCTGAAATGACATCTCAAGCTCGACAGCAGAAAACCTCCTCTTAGCAGGGGAGGCAACATGAGGTCTCTTACTCAACGAGGTAGTAGTATCTTCCTCCTCATCCTCAAAAGGAAGGTTAATAGCTAGATTAGGAGGAATAGAGACAGGAACAATAGCCAGTATAGTAGGAGGGGCGGAGCTCAGCCCAAATCGAGTGAGGTTGTGAGCCATAACTAGCCCTCCAANAAGATGAGGGGCGGAGCTCAGCCCAAATCGAGTGAGGTTGTGAGCCATAACTAGCCCTCCAAAAGGCATCACTTCAAAATAGCCCAGGGTATAGACTCTCGTGGCCTCATCAGCTGTTAGCCCCGGGCTACTGTCTGTACAAACATATAGGGTCCAGGTGATTATAAAACAACGCAATGAATCTATTTACCACACAATACAAAATAGCTCTTACCCTTATCTAGGAGACCCCCTAGGAGCGAGGAACACGAAAAACGTCAATAGCAGCCTCTCCAACTTCCCAGGCATCCATAAAAATGAAGAAGAAATGGTGTGCCCATCTCTCCGGGGAATTAGAAGTGGCGATAACCATCACCGGAGCACGCGATTTCAACATAAAACTGTAGAAACAGGGTGGAAAATCACTCACCAGGTGAAAAAAGTGGAAGAACTTGGGATTAGAGAAGAAATGGTCATGGTCAAAGGATAAAGAAACTCACGAGGAGACCCTATCCCTTAAGTGCAAGTTGAGAAGGGTAGAGACCAAGATAGTTTAGAATCTCCCTAATTGACAAATGTAGTGGTATGTGAAGCCCCATTTTAAAGGCACCTTTGAAAAAGCAAACCTTCCTACGTAAGAAGAGGTTGCAGGGTTGGTCGGCGGTGGGGGCATAGACGGAGATACCAGTAGGAAATTGATACCTCCTACTAAGGGCCTGAAATTCCTCTAGNTAGAGACCAAGATAGTTTAGAATCTCCCTAATTGACAAATGTAGTGGTATGTGAAGCCCCATTTTAAAGGCGCCTTTGAAAAAGCAAACCTTCCTACGTAAGAAGAGGTTGCAGGGTTGGTCGGCGGTGGGGGCATGGACGGAGATACCAGTAGGAAATTGATACCTCCTACTAAGGGCCTGAAATTCCTCTAGTGAGACTGAACTAGGTTCTAAAAAGATAGAAAAAGAAGGTCTTCATAGAAAATGAAGGTGCACTGCTTGAATAAAGAAGAAGTTGGAGTGGGCATGAAGAGACGAGAAGAAGCCTTGTTAAAAAGTCTGTTGCAAGGAGAAGAAAGAGTAAAAGGCAAAATGGCAAGGAGGAACAAAGAGCCTCTTTATAGAAGGAAAAAAGGATAACGATTCACTTCCTACAGATGTTCGGTATAAGGATGAGGTTAACACAAAGAAATCTTGGCAGAAGGTAGGTGAATGCATTTAGCTGCCTTTTGCAAAGATTCATACGAATCTGGCAGCATGATGGGGAGTAACTGCCACCAGTCATGACTTTTTAACAACCACAGTAAAAATCGCAAAATTCAAACTTTGTGAGCCAGACGAATGATGAAACGAGCCCTTTAACCTGAGGTAGCCAACAAATTAAGAGCATTTTGAAGGTCGTACCTTCTAACTTGAACAGAAAAGGGTCTGAGAGGCCGAGCAACGAAGGGATCATTCTAGCAATCAAAAGGAGATTCTTAACTACAAGGCTTAACTCCCAATAAATAATCGGGGAAGTAAAGAAAAGGATCTTAAATGCTTTCTAAGGGAAGAATCTCATTAGAAACAAAAGAAAAGTTGTCCATTACAAAAGAGGAACTACCTATTACAAACCATTCTTTTTTAAACAAAAAGAGAGCAAATAAACAACACTTGAGAGAAATCTTAGCTCGAGGGTCCCGACCCCTTCTTCATAGATAGCTTCTCCAACTGTTATTTATGTGAGGCATTCTCCTGAGCTAGTTTGTTCCTAGCACGTTCAAAAAGAAGAAGGTCCCCCTTCCTCACCACCAGCATAATTTCTAGAATGAAACTGGGAATAGAATTGACCTCTTCCTCAGTATTGGCCGTCACTGTGCAAGAGGACACTCCATGTGGCCTTTTTCTGGAAGAAGTGACGATGTCATCCTCCTTGCCCTTGACGGGTGGGATAACAGTAGTAGGAGCAATAGGAACAGCGGGAGTTGGAGCTAACCCTTACCTAAAGAGGTTATGAACGTGACCATCACATGGAATGACACATCCTTGAACTGAAAAAGGTTATGAACCTTCCTGGAGTTAGCGATGGATATCTCAGGCAAATCCCCTACAAAAATGAAAATGTCACCTCAATAGGACTCAACAAAAAAATAAAGGAAAAATGGGAAAAAGATAATTCATTCTTACCCATATTTGAAGGTCGTCCCCAAATTCACGAAACTCTGTGAGCTTCAATGGCCAACCTATCAAACTCCCAAGCATCCTAGGAAATAAAGAAGAAGCGACGATACCACCCCTTCGAGGAGGCAAGAATCCTGGTGATCATCATGGGCACTTGAGTCCTCAAAGCAAAAGTATAAAAGAAAGGGGGGAAAGATAAAGGTGAAGATAGGCAAAAGTATAAAACCAAAGATAAAACAATGTGAAAAAGGTGAAGAAAGGCAGGAACCAAAGGGAACTCGTTAAACGCATGGATGCACCAGAAAATAAAAGAGCCAATAAGAAAATGCCACCCTCTAAGTGAAAGTTGTAAAGGGCAGAGGTCAAAATGATTAAAAATGCACATTATTGATGTGGACAAAAGGAAGCCTAGTCAGATTCCAAAGCATTACCTAAATAATATATAATTGAGTCATATCGTATACATTTCTTCTAATTGATTTTATCAATACCTAATTTGTTTATAATCGTATCTTATCGGATCCATTTGTTTACTAAACAGGTGGCTTAAGGAAGACTCAAACTTACTAATTTTATGTCGTGTTAACGGATCGTGTCATATTTTAACATCCCTAAATTTGATATAAAAATTGACCTTGTAGAATTTAGTTTTTTTCCTTTGAACTAGATATTATTTTTTGATTTAAAACTACGTAATTTTATAAAATATTACTTGTAACATGAAAAATATTGTGGCCAATACAATTTTTTTTTTAAAGCTTTTCATCTTTAAAAACTTGTTTTTAATCTAAAACAACATTTTAATGTTTTATGAAATATTTTATACGACAAGAAAAATAGTTATCATAAATATAAAAAATTCTTTTTAGTTTACGAAATATTATTTGAGGCAGGAAAAACAGTTGTCTCAAATACAAAAAAAATTTCTGAGTTTATGGCACTATTTACTGTAGGAAAAATAATTGTCACAAATATTAACAAAATATTAATACAAACACGCTTTTTGTGATAACAAACACAACTGCCACAAAAAATTGTCTCAAAAACGTCTTTTGTGACGGTGAACACAACTGTTGTAAAAAATTTGTCACAAAAAATTCTAATTCTTGTAATGCTATTACTTTTTTATATTGTCTACATAAAACAATCATAGTTATTAATATCGTACGATATACGATACGTATCATATGATACATCACGATACACCTGAAAAACGATACATATTGTGTCTCTGTATCATTTTTTGCACCGTATTGTACGATACACGATACGATACGTACCATATGATATGTTTGATATATGAAGATTCTATTTATATATATATATATATATATATATATATATTAGGATTGAAATGACATCGATTTACCCTAAATCTTATTTTTAAATCATTAGCTAGTGAAATAAATAAAATCCGTTGTTAATGTTATTCAATTGAATTAAAAATTTCTTATTAGTATTAAGATTGTTCAAGCAGTTAATATTAGAAGTTTGAATTAGAGGTCTTTGCATTTTTATATTACTGAATTATGCTGAAAACTTGAATAGTTGGTAGAATATTAATGAAATGATATTTTATTATGAGTCTATGACTTTTTTACAAAGTTATATACATATATTTTATTAATAATTATTTAAAAATTAAAATTGTGCATATTTTACAATACACTATTTTTAAAAAGTAATATGCCTTCTGATACACGATTTGACAACTATGATAACAATTGAAAGTAAAATTACTATATCAGTGAAAATTTTATAACAATAGTGAAAAAGTTATAACAGTAGTTGACAAAATTACCACAATAGTGAAAAAAATTATAACATTAGTGAAAAATTTATAACCATAGTGGGTAGAATTATAACATCAGTAGAATATGTATAACAACAACAAGTAAAATTACTACAGTATTAGGCAAACTTTAATCAATATATTGGTAAAAGTACGATTGACCCATTTAACCACATTTGTCGTAAATACGAAACTAATGCATCCCACTGATGTCGTAAATTTATCTTTAAGTTTGTATTATTATCCACGGTTCTTATAATTTTAACCAAAATAGAAGTAAAATTGGCCTATATACTAATAAATTTATCCACAATCATTCTAACTTAACCCTAAATTCTGGTAAATTTTCCTTTTGATGTTTTAATGTTACCACAATTGTAGTAAATTCATCCACCGTGGTTTTAACTTAACCCACTTCNTTTATCCACAATCATTCTAACTTAACCCTAAATTCTGGTAAATTTTCCTTTTGATGTTGTAATGTTACCACAATTGTAGTAAATTCATCCACCGTGGTTTTAACTTAACCCACTTCTGTGGTAAATTTATCTTTTATCTTCATATTGTTGCCCAAAGTTGTTGTAATCTTAACAAAAATAGTTGTAAATTCTCCTTTAAACGTGTAAATTTATCTACAATTGTGTTAAACTCATACTCAAATGTGATAAATGTACCCTCAATTGTAATAAATTGCTTACTGTTATAGTAAATCTTACCACAACAGTTGTAGTATTATTCTTAATATATTAAAAGTAACCAATATCAGGGTAAAAGTATTGATTGACACCTTTAATCATATTTGTTGTAAATACATCACTTATGCATCCAATAAGTACCATACATTTACCTTTATGTTTGTAAAGTTATCCACGATTATTGTAAGACTAATGAAATTAATGGTAAAATTATCTTATATATTAATAATCTTACCCACAATCGTTGTATTTAGCTCTTAATTATAGTAAAGTTTTCCTTTGATGTCGTAGTGTTTCCCAAATTGTTTTAAAGTCTCGTAATGCTACCTAGAATTATCGTAATAATAATTAAAATAGTCATCAATNAAACCGAGGAAATGTCCTTTCAATGCTGGGAGTCATCATGGAGGTGTGTTCACATAACCAGTACTGCAACATACAAGATTGCGATAATCAGATCATATTGGGTTATAGCAAAGAAATTTCAATTCTCAAATTAACATANCCCACGATTATTGTAAGACTAATGAAATTAATGGTAAAATTATCTTATATATTAATAATCTTACCCACAATTGTTGTATTTAGCTCTTAATTATAGTAAAGTTTTCCTTTGATGTCGTAGTGTTTCCCAAATTGTTGTAAAGTCTCGTAATGCTACCTAGAATTATCGTAATAATAATTAAAATAGTCATCAATTCTCCTCTAAACATGTAAATTTGAACTCAATCAAAAATATACTTTAGTTTGAACTCCTGAACACAACTCATAATATTAAAAATATTCCAAAACAAACTTTTAGGGAACAAAAAAAGTCAAAGTTAAGGGTTAAAAAAATAATTTCAACTAGTCAGTTAAAACAGACCATTCATATGTAAACAACCACTCTTTCTCTATCTCTCTCTCTCTCCCTCTAACAAACTAACACCCTCCCTCTCACTCACTCTTTACTAAACACAAATTCTCTTATTTTTTTGAGTTACGAATTTTTTTTTATATTACAAAAAATATACTAAATTATTTTTATTTTTTTATTAAACTAGAAAAATTAAAATAAGTAGCCCTTGATTTTTTAAAATTAAAAAAAATTATAAAAATTAAAACTGATAAAATATTTCCTAAGATCGACTATCACAAGAAAATATAAAAAAATATAGTAGCGAAACTTAAACATAAAAAGTAATAGTACTTTTTATCTTAAAAAATAAAATAAAAAATTATTAATATTAATATTAAAAAAAATACTATTTTTAGTAGTCGCTTTAAATATTAAATAATCTTAGACCGCCTCTGATCCATGATATCACCACCAGTACCATCATTCAATCCAATAGCAGGGCACAATCAATATCTAAATGTTACACCGTGGCTTAGAATCCCGCTGCCCTTCCTCCCCTACCACATCCCTAGCACTTGGAGTCTAAATTGGGACGGCCACTGCTTCCCCCTGCCTAAATCCAAATGTTACATCGTACTGTCTTTGTTTGATTACTTCCTTCAGCCGTTCGATTTCGTCCACCTAGGAAGTAGAATTCCTGCAATAAGAAGATATCTTCATAAAATTCGGAAAATCTGTGAAGAATAGTTGGTTGTATTAAAGAAAAAAAAATTGAAATGGAAGGGGGTTGGCATAAAGTAAAAGAAAAAAAATAGTTAAATGGTGGGCGTTTGGAATTTACATGTGAACCGAAATAATAGAGTCAATTGAAGAGTGATTGGTTAAATCTATACTAAAAAGAGATTTTTCTAAGCCACTTGTTGAAGTTTGCAGCTGGAGAGCAGAGTGAAGCAATATAGTGTAGCAGTACAGATTATATGGTGTAGCTGCAAGCATACGTTAGAGTTAGTTAGGCAAGAGATGAGCTGGCTGTTGCACATTAGTTAGAAGTTTGTCATTTATCTTTCCATGTAATGAAGACTATAGCGGTGTAGATTGTGTATATATATATCTACGTAATCAATTAGAGTTGAATTTGAATTCAAAAATTTATCTTGAGCCTTTCGCAGCTTAGATCAATTCTAAGCAAAAGATAAGTTATATCTGAAGGTCTATTTTATCTCTAATTTTTTACGACTCAGATCAATTCAAAAATATTGATTGGAAGGATTAGATTGATAGACAAACTTTGTTTTCCCGCTTAAGACACTTTCCATCTTTAATTACCCCACATTAATGCTCTTCCGTTTCCACATTCCATGCATGACATATCTTTCCCAAATTATGTCTACCATAATTCATTTACTCTTTTTACGGTAACTAATTTATTCTTTTTAGTATTTGGATATTTGTCTTCTGGATTATATATTGACGATTTTTAAATTCATTACTGATGAACTGCAATGAAACATTTGATTTTAGCATTTCATAAAAGCTATTTTTAGTTTTTTAATACAAAGAGAACAAGAAATAATAGCTTGAGTTTGGGGACTAGTGTGTGCTTAGATAATGAGTAAATAAGTCACACTTATTCTAATTTTCTAATACAAGTAAAATATTTTCAATGCAAAAAATAAAAAAGTAAAATATTTTTGGCATTCCATTAAATTCATTATGAAAACGAAGTTTTGCGAATTATCTCCGGAAATGGAAGAGCATTTTGGAGAGGTGTATATTATGGAGAACCGTGGCGTGAGTCTTTTTTTTAAAAATAAAAATATGTATTCTTTACTATTTTAATTATACAAAATGTGTATGCAGATTAATATTGTCCAAAGGTCATATTTTTGGAGTTTATTTTAGCGATTATTTTTTTTTGAATAGTGGGTCTATATTGATTGGTACTTTATGTTATACATTGCTTTCAAGTGTAATTTTTTTTTTTTTGAATAGTACTTTCGGCCATGGACAATAACTAGAATATATATATATATATATATAACTCAATGAGAAAGATCTCTTTTTCTCTAAATTTTCAGATCTCTTCTTCCCCAAGTCTCTTCTTCTTCATTTCTTAACATGGTATCAAAGCTCTTCTGGCTTCCACTGAATTTTTTTTTTCTTTTTATGGTGTCTGATTCAGCTGTTACCGGTTCACAGATTACTAACTCTTCAAGCTCAATTGAGGACTTTTCTCATCTATTTTATCTCCATTATGGAGATAGTCCAGGTGCTCTATTAGTTTCTCAACCTTTAATAGGAGAAAACTATAATTCTTGGAGTAGATCTATGTTCATGGCCCTGAGTGCCAAGAACAAGATTACTTTTATCGGTGGAACTTCTGCAAAACCTACTGATCAAACTGATCCTCTGTATCATTCATGGATTCACTGCAATAACATGGTAATCTCTTGGATTTTGAACACATTATCGAAGGAGATAGCATAGAGTGTTCTTTATGTCAATTTTGCCAAAGATATTTGGGAAGAACTCAAGGAAAGGTTTTCACAAACCAATGGTCCAAGGATCTATCAGTTGTAGAAATCTATTTCTTCTCTTCAACAAGAGCAACTTTCTGTAAGCTCTTACTACACTCAAGTCAAAGGATTTTGGGATGAGTTAATCAATTACAGGCCTCTAACAGTTTGTACATGTGATGCTTTGAAGATATTGATTCAATTTCAGCAATAGGATTATGTGATTCATTTTTTAATGGGCTTGAATGATTCATTTTCCAACATCCAAAGTCAAATCTTGTTGCAAGATCATATACCTGCAGTTAACAAAGTCTTCTCTCTTATTCTACCAGAAGAAAGACAACGACAAATTGTCTTATCTGCAATTCCCACTGTGGATTCTACTACACTTTTGAACAAGTTTAATTCATCAAATCAACAATATTTTGGAAAATCAACTCCTAACAAGTCACAATCTCGACCTATTTGCACTCACTATGGAATGCTAGGTCATACAATGGACAAGTTTTATAAGCTTCAAGGCTATTCTTAAGGATTTCGTTTTTCCAAAAGAAAGAACAACAACTCCAAAAATGCTAATCAAGTGGCTAGTGATGGTCAAATTGATAGTGCAGTTCCAGTTGGTAAAACCAAAGAAATCTCTTTTTCTCCAAATAACTCAAGAGCAAATCCAACAGTTATTAAGTCCTTTACAAACTGAGAATTCATCCTCTGATCAAGTCTCAGTCAATCAAGTCATTAATCCTCATTCTGAGTCTTTCTTTAATGTGTCAGGTGAGGATTCATGTTCTATTTTAACCATTTTCTCACAACATGATTCTTCATGTTCATCGTCTCCATGGATCATTGATACTGGAGCAGCAGATCACATATTCTGTTCAGTCTCTTTTTTATCCATTGTTTCTTCAACTGTTAACACCTTAGTAAAATTGTCTGATGGAAGTGTAGTTACAGTCAGTCATGTAGGTACAGTCAGAATTTCAAATTCCCTTCTGCTAAATGATGTGCTTTTTGTACCTTCTTTCAAGTACAATCTCCTTTCTACTAGCAAATTAACACAACAACTTAATGATTGTTTCATTTTTCTTCATGGATATTGTCTTGTACAAGACCTCTCAACATGGACAACGATTGGGATGGGTAAAGAAAGGAGAGGCTTGCACTTTTTGCAACTACCAGATGCTTCACATTCTTTTCTTGATTCAACAGCCAATTCTTCTTCAAATGTCTCTTCTGTTCAATGCAACACAGAAGTCTACACATCTCTGGCATTTTCGTCTGGGCCATCTCTCTCCATAAAGATTAGCTTCTTTGCATAAGATAGTACCTGAAATTTCACACTCCAGTGATTCTCATTGTAGTATTTGTCATTTTGCTAAGAAAAATAGACTGTCATTTCCCATTAGCAGTACTAAGACAATTGGTTCTTTTGAACTAATTCATTGTGATATATGGGGCCCTTATTCTACCCCTTCCCTTAATGGATCTCATTACTTTCTTACAATTGTAGATGACTACTCTAGATGTACTTGGATTTACTTGATGAAGTGTAAGTTTGAAACTCAACACTTGCTCATTTCTTTTTATGCTATGGTGGAAACTCAATTTCATGCTAAGATCAAGATTACTAGATCTGATAATGGACAAGAGTTTGTTATGTCTTCTTTCTTTGCCTCTAAAGGAATAATTCATCAGTTAAGCTGTGTTGACACTCCACAATGAAATGGAGTTGTGGAGAGAAAGCATCAGCACCTTTTAAAGGTGGCTAGAGCACTTAGATTTCAAGCCATCTTCCACTTTCTTTTTGGGGGGGATTGTGTTTTAATTGGTGCTTACCTTATCGATAGACTCCCTACCCCTTTTCTTTCTAGGAATTCACCACTTGAAGTTCTCTTTTCTAAGACACCATCTTACTCTCACTTAAGAGTTTTTGGTTGTTTGTGTTATGCTTCCACACTCAAGCAACATAGACCTAAATTTGATTCTCGAGCCAAGCAATGGGTCTTCATTGGTTAAGCACCAGCTAGCAAAGCCTACAAATTGTTTAATCTAAACACTAATTCTGTGTTTTTTCCAGAGATGTTGTTTTCTATGAATATATATTTCCTTTTTCTTGCAGCAATTTAGCAACCTCATATGGTGCAACATCCTCTTCTAGAATAGATTCAGTAGTTTTACCATCTTTAATTTCTGATCTCAGTCCTCGTGTTCCTGTCTCAGAACCTACTTCCATTTCAAAAGCAAAATCCAATAAAGTTTTAGATGTTCCTTCTGATGATATTGACTCTTTTCCTCATTCTTCTACTGCCAATACTTCTAGACAGTCAACCAGACTTAGGAAAAATCCTAGTTATTTATAGGATTATCATTGCAACCATCTCTCTTCTCACATATCCCATTCCCTATCCATGGTTGCTGGTTCCAAGACTTCAAGTACTTCTCATGCTCTTTCTCAGTTTTTGTCTTATCACAAATTATCTCCTTCTTGTAGAGTTTTTAGTCTTGCTCTTTCCTGTCAACAAGAACCTCAGTTTTTTCACGAAGCTGTTAAAACTCCTGTGTGGTGTGAGGCCATGAATGATGATATTAAAGCTCTTGAATCAAATAATACCTGGACTAACACCTCTCTCCCTCCTAGTAAATAAGCAATAGGTTGTAAATGGGTTTGTAAAATCAAATATAAAGTAGATGGCACTATTGAAAGGAACAAAGCCAGGCTTGTTGCTAAGGGATACACATAGGAAGGGATAGACTATTTGGAAACTTTTTCTCTTGTGGCCAAATTTTCTACCATTTGATGTCTTTTGGCTATAGTTGCTGTCAAGGGTTGGCATTTGTTTCAAATGGATGTACATAATGCTTTTCTTCATGGTGATTTAGAGGAGGAGGTCTACATGAAGATTCCTCCTAGTTATGACAAACAGGGGGACAATTTGGTGTGTTTTTTGAACAAATCCCTTTATGGTCTTAAGTAGGCTTCTAAACAACGGTTTTCCAAATTTTCTACTGTTATTCTTGGTTATGGATTCTCTCAGGCCAAATCAGATTACTCTTTCTTCACAAAGACCACTGGTTCTAGTTTTATAACTTTATTAGTCTATGTGGATGATATTGTCATTGCTACTGATGATCTTAATGCAGCTACAGAGCTTAAGGATTTTCTTCATAATCAGTTTCATCTTAAAGGTCTTGGTAATTTAAAGTTCTTTTTGGGGCTTGAAATTACAAGTTCTTCTAAGCGAATTTCTATTTGTCAAAGGAAATTTACCCCTGAAATATTACTAGATTCTGGTCTCCTTGGTTCTAAACTAGCTCATTCCCCAATGGTGCAAAATCTCAAGCTTTCTAAGGATTCTAGTTCTCTTTTATCAAACCCTTTTGTTTACAGAAGACTAATTGGTAGATTTTTATACTGGACTCTCATCAGACTTGATCTTTCTTTTGTTGTTCAAGTTCCAAGTCAATTCATGGATAATTCTAGGCAACCACATCTTGATGCAGCATTTAGAATTTTGAGATATCCCAAAACTTCTCCCGCATAGGGTCTCTTTTTTCTCAGCAACATCCTCTTTTCATCTCAAAGGCTTCTGTGATGCAGATTGGGTAGGACGTCCAGACTCTCATAGATTTGTTACTGGATTTTGCATCTTTCTTGGAAATCCAAGAAGCAAGTTATTGTTTCACATTCTTCTGCTGAAGTAGAATACAGAGTCATGGCTACCTCTGCTTATGAGATCACTTGGCTCATTGCTCTCCTTCGTGATTTTGAGATTTCTCACTCTACCCTTGCCTTACTCTTCTATGACAACAAGGCAGCACTTCACATTGCAGCTAATCCTAGTTTTCACGAACGCACTAAGCACATTGAGCTTGATTATCATTTCATACGAGATAAGGTCCAGACTGGCCTTCTCAAGACTCTTCATGTTACTTCACTTCATCAACTAAGTGATATCTTCACTAAACCCCTTGGGATTCAACAATTTAGGTTTTTGTTAGGCAAGATGGGAGTTCTCAATATTCTATCTCCATTTTGAGGGGCACTCTTGAAGTATGCAACTGCAGAGCACAATGAAGCAGCATAGTGTAGTTGTACAAATTATATATGCAGTTGTAAGCATAGGAGAAAAGTTAAGAGTCAGGCAAGAGATGAGCTGACATTTAGTTAGACATTAGTTAGAAGTTTGTTATCTATCTTCAGTACATACGAAGACTATGGCGGTGTAGATTATATATATATATATAGGTGATGTAATTTTTCATGATAATTCAATGAGAAAGATCTTCTTTTCTCTAAATTATGAGATCTCTTCTTCTTCATTTCTTAACACCTCTATGATTTCCATCCTCCTATGGCATGAGTTCCTATCTTTGTAGGTCATTATGAATTGGCTTGCTTACTCTCATCCTGGGTTGGTTTATGTGTGTAGGTGGGGGGTTAAAAGAGGTTGACACACGTGTCTATGCCAAGGGTAATCAAAGGGGGTGAGTAGGACAAGTGGACGGGATGGAAGGAACTCGAGCAGCCTGTTAACGAATAGACAAACCAGTTGGGTAGAGGGTAGGTGAAAAATGCTCTCACTAGCTAAAAAATCATTCCCCGTAGTGGGCAAGTCATGTGGGCATTTATAGCACAGTGCCTGGGCAGGTTGGGCTGCCCAAAGAGCTGTCCGTCGCGACCCCCGATCACCCGTGTGAACCCACAACCGCCTCGACCGTGACGATACCAATGGTCGTTAATGCGAGCCATGCATCCCAACATTAACTAGAAAGATATGATGTTTCCCCAGATGCAACCTAGACGTGGCCCTGAGGAAGATGCAACAGTCAAAGCGAGAGCGGGCTTCTAAGATCCACGACCGCGACTAGTCACCGTGGGACCATGACCCCAAGAGGGCCATATCCGCAATACCCCCAACACGCTCCTACCTAGGGTCCTTTTTTCCCTCTCGAGACCCTTCCTCGAGACCTTTGTCGAGGTGCCCAATAGAGGAAACTTACATAGTTTCGGTCCGTCAGCCACCAATCCACATGTCTCATCATCCCATATGTCGATCCGGGCCAATAACCCCAGTTACCTTAGGAGTCTCTTTGGATCCCAGTCAAGCACATCCCAGTGGGCAGTGAGCCATACACTGGAAGGCCTGCTCAAGCAGACTAAACCTTCAAGACCCTGCCCGAGGCCGAGGTTGACAATCATGCTCATCTGCCCTTATTACTTAATTCTCCCTTGAGGAGGGCCATATTCCCATGTCCCTAGGTGGGGACACCTCCCAGTCTAGTGGACCAGTCAAGCAACGACATCCAATAGGTTGAGGATACCATTCTCGCAACGGGGGAAGCGAGTCTCGCCGAGGTTGCTCCCACACTTCTGTGATTCCATTTTTGTCAAATCTTTGTGAAAGGTCCATTTTGCCGCTTCCAATGCGATGGAGATGTATCTCGCCCTGATGCGGTATTGTGCTTGAGGATGTCGCACCTTAGGTGTCGCGCATGAGTGTCGTGCCTTGGGCGTCATGCATGACATTATTATCTACACCAGTACAGTTGACGCTGTTAGGCGCCATTTTCATATCAACTGATAATTGTTTCCACTTGTCCTATTATGGTGAAGACATGTATCTTGAAATTTTTTAAGTACTACATATGCTCCCTACGCGTGCCAGGTTGTATGAAACGTCCTGCGCATGCACACCATTTTTTGTCCGCACTTGTCGTTTGACTGTAACTATAATCTCTGAGCTAACCGTGGTGCTGATGACTAAATTTATTTTCGTAANTTCTTTTCTCTAAATTATGAGATCTCTTCTTCTTCATTTCTTAACACCTCTATGATTTCCATCCTCCTATGGCATGAGTTCCTATCTTTGTAGGTCATTATGAATTGGCTTGCTTACTCTCATCCTGGGTTGGTTTATGTGTGTAGGTGGGGGGTTAAAAGAGGTTGACACACGTGTCTATGCCAAGGGTAATCAAAGGGGGTGAGTAGGACAAGTGGACGGGATGGAAGGAACTCGAGCAGCCTGTTAACGAATAGACAAACCAGTTGGGTAGAGGGTAGGTGAAAAATGCTCTCACTAGCTAAAAAATCATTCCCCGTAGTGGGCAAGTCATGTGGGCATTTATAGCACAGTGCCTGGGCAGGTTGGGCTGCCCAAAGAGCTGTCCGTCGCGACCCCCGATCACCCGTGTGAACCCACAACCGCCTCGACCGTGACGATACCAATGGTCGTTAATGCGAGCCATGCATCCCAACATTAACTAGAAAGATATGATGTTTCCCCAGATGCAACCTAGACGTGGCCCTGAGGAAGATGCAACAGTCAAAGCGAGAGCGGGCTTCTAAGATCCACGACCGCGACTAGTCACCGTGGGACCATGACCCCAAGAGGGCCATATCCGCAATACCCCCAACACGCTCCTACCTAGGGTCCTTTTTTCCCTCTCGAGACCCTTCCTCGAGACCTTTGTCGAGGTGCCCAATAGAGGAAACTTACATAGTTTCGGTCCGTCAGCCACCAATCCACATGTCTCATCATCCCATATGTCGATCCGGGCCAATAACCCCAGTTACCTTAGGAGTCTCTTTGGATCCCAGTCAAGCACATCCCAGTGGGCAGTGAGCCATACACTGGAAGGCCTGCTCAAGCAGACTAAACCTTCAAGACCCTGCCCGAGGCCGAGGTTGACAATCATGCTCATCTGCCCTTATTACTTAATTCTCCCTTGAGGAGGGCCATATTCCCATGTCCCTAGGTGGGGACACCTCTCAGTCTAGTGGACCAGTCAAGCAACGACATCCAATAGGTTGAGGATACCATTCTCGCAACGGGGGAAGCGAGTCTCGCCGAGGTTGCTCCCACACTTCTGTGATTCCATTTTTGTCAAATCTTTGTGAAAGGTCCATTTTGCCGCTTCCAATGCGATGGAGATGTATCTCGCCCTGATGCGGTATTGTGCTTGAGGATGTCGCACCTTAGGTGTCGCGCATGAGTGTCGTGCCTTGGGCGTCATGCATGACATTATTATCTACACCAGTACAGTTGACGCTGTTAGGCGCCATTTTCATATCAACTGATAATTGTTTCCACTTGTCCTATTATGGTGAAGACATGTATCTTGAAATTTTTTAAGTACTACATATGCTCCCTACGCGTGCCAGGTTGTATGAAACGTCCTGCGCATGCACACCATTTTTTGTCCGCACTTGTCGTTTGACTGTAACTATAATCT